AATAATTCTATATTATATGGATTATTATTTATTTTCTTATGTTATATAAAATTTAAAAAAAAAACGTTATTAGTTAAGTATAAAATTTCTAATAAATTTTTATAAACAAAATTAAGTACACAATACAATACAATTTATTTTTTGGCATTGATCACCTTTTGTATTCCTATAAGAATGATTTAGGTCCGCTGGTTAGGTAAGTCCTTTCAATACGGAATCGTGCGCTAAGTCATATTGGCACATTTCCAATCCATAGAAAAATTTCTTTTTCTTTCCGAAAAAAAAAAATACCTTTTTGTGTTCTTATCTTTTGTATGAAGGAGTCGTTATGTCATATGAGTCTTGCAGACGTCTTGGAGTCTCTCTCTCCGGCAAGCTGACCATTTACAAGATTCCCGCCAAGAACAGCAGCTTGCGTACCTTTTGTTAAGAACACACTTCAAAAACAGCCTGTGTCAATAGAACATACGTATGTGCATTTGAATCGAATTGAATGCATGCCGAACGCATTTGATTTATTTCGTTAATTTTTAACGAACAACTGCAACGACTGGCAATAATTATTGTAGACGCATTTCCGTATTTCCAATTGCTGAAAATAACGTAAGAATAATAAAAATATAAGCAATAAAAAATAACCAATTCATGTTTAACTACAATTTATATTTACCTTTTACTATATTAGCTAATATTTAAGATTAATATAATTTATATATTCCTTAACAAAGTACAATTAATTTTTATAATTATTGTAAAATATTTTAATTTTATAAACTGAAATAATTATAAAAACGCAAAAAAACTTTGTACTTTGTCACAACTTAAGACCAATAAAACTGAGCAAATAGATAAATTACCTTCATTATATAATTAATTACTTTAATGTTTTGATGGTTATTAATTATACAAATTAAAATGTGATTACTTGTTTCTGATTAATGGCTGTGATTGATGTACTCTGACCATAAAAATAATTATGCTTTTATGAGTTGTTAAAAAAAAACTAAATACATGTCTTTTATTGGATCTCATTTTATTAATTTCAAGAGAGATTAATTTGTATCGTGTTTTTAAACTAACTTTCTAATATTGTAACTATTATATCATATCAATCTGAAATATAATACAAGATAATTATTATTTTTAACTTGCAATTTTTCATAAAGTTTACATTAAACAAGAAACATTATTTTATTATAATAACAATAATTTATAATAAACACACATGTTTTCATGTAACAAATATATGTTAAAATGATGTAAAGAAATTATTTCTCGTAATTCTTTAATTGAAATTATTAAGAAAACTTAGCTTTCGATATTCGAAATATTCTTACCAATTGTTAATTCCAAAGAACCCAAATTCTTCAATATCTAAAGTATATCTTCAAATATCTATAAAAATAAATAAAATGTTAATATTCGTATGGAAAACGTGGTTTTAAACATATCTTCACTCTAATCCACTTTAAATCTAATCATTATATACATTTATTTTTTGATCCTTATGATTTTTTTTGTATTTTGTTGTTTTCTGTTACTATTTTATAATATATGACAGAAAAATTGAAGTTTATTAAAAAAATTGTAAACAACTGTCAGAAATTTCCTGTTTGGATTGGAAACAATCGTGCGTTTAGGGGTCGTAGGCTGTGATCAGGAAAAAAGGAGAAACGCATTGCTATAGCAATCTTGTTTGATATTTTGATCAATATCAATTATCAGTAACATTCATTGGAACAACTGTTAAATTTTTCTACAAATAGTTCCAACATTTATTAAATATTATTAGGTGAGTTCAATCGATCCGCAATTGTCGACACTGATCCGTCTGTGTGCGCGCGTGTAAATATAAATAATCTTTTGTAGAGATGGGCCTTCGCAAACTGTTTTGCGCATTGGTTTTACTGATGTTCTACCTGTCTGTCGCCATGGCCGACGATGCACCAGCAGCAGCAGCAGCTGGTGGATCCACCGAAGCGGTCACAGAGGCAGCGGCTGGCGCTGCGCAACTTCTTCTGGATGTGCCGCTGTACGCCGCGCTCGCTACCATCCCGGCTTACAATCTATTCAAACGTATATTTTAATATCTATTTTGTTTATTTTTTCAAACTGGAGAATCGTTTGTATTTAAATGTTTATTTTTTATTTTTTTTTGGTAAATAAAATTTGACTTGTTAAATTTAATTTGTTCTGACAAATTACTTTTTTTTTATATCACTATTATTAAAAATAAATTAATACATATTTCAGTTAGGTATTTTGGTTCTCTTTGTAACGAAAGTATTTCAAGTTAAACTTCATATTTATGATAAATAGTTATAATTGGGAAGAAAGACGGTGATCATATATAATGGTTTATTGTATTATTTATACGAGATATCTTTAATTATGTAAGAAACACACAAATTAAGATATATTTTACTTCTTTGATTGAAGCAAATTTAGATGTAAGTTTGACATAAATTTATTATTTTTTTGACAATTCATAGTTTATTAGTTTCTTAAACTTAACAAATATAGTTTTCACAAATTTGTCGATATTTATTTCAAATATATGAAATGCAGATAGCAATAGCTTAGATTGAGTGGCATTTGCTATAATTCATATTAACATTGACACTGTTTAAGTGTATGTAAGAGAGTAGCAATTATTAAGTGAATAATATGTGTTTTCTTGTCACAAATGGAATTAAACCACTTTAAAAATTAACAATTAGATTTATTATGAAAGAGCTCAAGTCCTTTCAACATAGTTTAAAATATTTTATTTTATATTTCTTTATATCACTTCAAAAACAAAATTTATGTAATTCAGAAAATCTTCTAACTACATAAATTACATAACAATTTACTGCTCATCTACATTTTGTGTATGCGATAAAAATTTGAAAGAGGACAAGTTCATTCGACATAGTTTAAAATAGTTTGAAATTGAAAAAAGAATACCCAATTTATGTTATATAGTTTTAAAAATACAATTTATGCAATTCATGTAATCTTCTAACTATATAAATTACATAACAATTTACTTCTCATCTATATTTTGTGTATGCGAGAGAGATTTAAAGAAGTCATCTGCCAGTATTTGAAACTCTGTATTCTCATCTATGGTTCTCTTAGAAAATGTTATATGGTTCAATTCTCAACAAACGTATCTAGGCATATTTACAATCAATTTATTGTTTCTTCGTTAGAATTCTTTAATCTTTTAAAATCTGCGCCCCACAAACATTTTGTTGATATGAAATCCTCTTGATTCATTTTCATATTACCTTCCGGTAAAAATAATGACTACAAAATAATTAAAATTATCTTCATTACTGCCTTCAGAAATTTGAAGATCTGTACTTTTGGATATTATCAATAATGAATTAGACTTAGGTCACTTTCACAAAGTATGAAAATGTATGTGGTCAAAATTATCATATACTTTGAATATATTTAAACGAAAATTATTGTTAATGATTGCTAACATCAAATTATAAACGTTACTACATTAATAAAAAAATATGTAAAAGTATATAACAAAATCAATCTAGTAGATATAAATTTAAGTGTATTATAATGAGAAATTCGTCATTTTTGTATGATAAGCAGTTAAATTAATTAAAAACATAATTAGTATCAATTTATGTAATCTTGTACAAGGTTTATTTAAAAAAATCATAAACAAAATTATATTTCCAAATAGTTAATCTAAATAGATTTAATAAAAAAAGTTAATAATTATTATTCACAGTTTCATTACAATAATAATTAAATAAAAATATTTTTTTTAAATAAATTCATATTTACTATATACATTTACATAGAGCAATATGAAATGAAATAAAAAGTAAAAACGACAGATTTTTATTTATTTCATTTAATAAATAACAAAGAAATATTGTAATATTTATCAAATATTATTAATTTTTCTCTTGTATAAATATTATTCATTCATTTTTAATGCATATTGTATTATTATCAAACTAAAATTGCATTTATTTTGCAACTAATTTTTAAAAACTATTACATTTATTCATATTTATATAATATAATTTTTGTTTGTATCATTTTCTTTAATTTTAGATGTATTAATATAACAAATATTTATTTTATTATGCATTTATATAAAAAAAAAATTGTTTAGACGTAATGAAAATAAAAAGTATCATTAATGAGATTTAATTCTCATATTACATTTTTTGTATCGTTTTTGTCGTATCTTTTTATATATTACATAATTGTTTGATTAGTAAAAGGTTATTTAATTAATAATATTGTATTATCATTGCACACCGTTTCTTGAACTTCCGGCGTAGAGAAGATGGGATGACTGCAACTACAGACTAGTCCTGAGAGTCAGCGGCCGGCTGCCGAACTGTATGCTGGTTGAAGGAAGGGTGCCCGTAGGGTTAAAGCTCCCGTAGGATAAAAAAACCTTCCTCCTGGGAAATACCTCTTTTTCTTCTTCTTCTCGACATCCTCTCAACAAAAAAAAAAAATATATATAAATGAAGCTGCGGCAATGAAACCTTAATACAATTATAATCCATGTGGATTTATATTTAGAACAATTAAAATAAGTAAAATAGTATTAACAATTAAAGTTGTTAAGAAGTTTTCCTTGAGATAATTCATCAATTATTAAAACTGTGACAAATCGCATTGGTTTTTAACAGTCACCAATCCGCGTCATACGTTGCTTAACTCTTGTTATGAAGTATCATGTTTAAAGTATTTAATATATAAATTGTATGCTAAATTCGTAAATTATTTGTTTGTCATTAAACGACGACATTGACATTACTTGCATATTTGGATTAACAATTTGCATACATTAACGCTGCAATGTAAAAGCAATAATTCTGAGAGCAGCAATGATCTTACCTTTTTTTAAAGAAAACGTACGCATGTAATTAATAAAAGCTGATACTCGAAGCGACCGAGCTCAATCAATAATATAAATTTAAACAGAAGGTTTCTTCAAGGCGGAAGCCTTATTTTAATTAAAATACTTTAAATATAGCATTACACATTGTATAAAATATGTGTGTTAGTTGAAACAATAAGTCTTCCTTCGCGTATTTCCACAAAACTTATAATTAGCCGATGAATTCTTTAACGTCATCGTGATAAGTTCTCTGACGTCTTAGGAAAAACAAGCAGTAAATCAATAATGATTGAGTTTCAATAAACGTGCAAAATTATATTCCAACTTTTATTACAAATTATGTTTATTTTTAATGTGATATTATAGATTCAAATTGATGTTTAAAAAAAAATTATTGTTGTGAATAAATTTAAAACTGTCAATATTTCTGTTTTATAAATTTAGAGAAATTCATGAGATACATTTTTAATATTGGATATTGAATATTTAAAGATAATTATAAAACTGTCTTTAATCATTTAGTCACGGTACATGAACATCTTAGGATGCTTCAGTATAATTAAGACGTTTTCGCTTCTTCATGAATAATTTAGTTAATAAGCAGTGTTTTCCAATAAACGAGATTAATAGGAATTGATCATTTTAAATTGATATTTTCGTCGTCACGTTACGTAACGGAGAGCAACCAAAGATGCGGCTCTGTCGCGTTGATTGCATAACAACAATTTAATTGGAGTCGGCAACCAAGCACTGTCGATTTTAACTTTCATGTTCAGCCGACAACAGTGCTGCGAGTTAGATATTTTGACGTAATCCTTGTACTTAACTTGCAAGGATCTGTTAAAAAATACTCGAAATAAAAGCTCAAGAGAGTAGCACACGAGCATTAACAAAACGATACTGGTTTCATTTAATAATCCTTAAACTGATCAGTGTTCGAATCTACTAAAAAAATCAATTTTATTTAAGGTGTCTTACATATGGTCGTAGCTAATTAGATATATATAGAGGATACAAATATTGCGGCGATTACATCCGTTCTTTTCTGATAATATATTCAGTTATCATGTCCAATCAATTGGTCAGTGTTAAAGAACACGCTGGCAAACCGTCGAACAATATCATTTTCAGTGATATTGAAAAATATGGCGATGATCTGAATGGAGCGACCCTGAACGCCCTAAATTTGAGTGGTGATTCTTGCAGAATATGCCACTGTGAAGGTGATGTGAACGCTTTGATATCACCATGCAAGTGCACTGGAAGCTTGAAATTTGTCCATACTGCTTGTCTGCAGCAATGGCTTACAACCTCCAAATCGAGATCTTGTGAGCTTTGCAAATTTCGCTTCCCTCATTTAAAGAGTCAAGCCATTAGACGAGTAAGTTGCTTCATGTTGCTATAATGATCGATTCTTCCTGCACATATTAATTTTCAGTTGAGGAACCACGAAATAAGCATTTGGTTGCATTTCATTATCTGCTTGCACATTTTGTTAGGCGGCTGTGTCGTCACGTCCATTTTTGTAATTTCAGTTCATGAATTTAACAGAGATCATGGAGGTTTTGATGGTAAGATATATAAGTAAATTGTATACATTGTTAATAATTATTTCAAATGTAATTACGACGTTTCCATTTTATATAATCAAAATCACGTAATTAAGACGCGTGTTGACCCGTTCTACTACCTTAGCTCAATCAATTTATTCACACGAATAAAGTTGTTTTGAATGTAGTTTAATAAAATATACTGCGTTTATTGAAGGCCACACAGTTTATGTACACATTTTTCAATCGCGAATATAAAAATAGTTTTCTAACTTTACAAATAATTTATTTCTTGCTTTTAAAATGTTCAGGTTTTTATTCAAGATTGTATACATAATCATTTATATCAATTGCAAATACATCCAATTACAATCACTTCTAAACAGTAAACATTAAGTGTGTTTTTGCATTGTGCTGGTATTAAAATAAGAAGCAATAAATCTAGACGCCAGAGTAAAAGTTTGTAAAGCGATCCTACTATAATTTGTGTGCAAATTATGCATTTTAAGAATGTTATTTAAAGTCGAGCCGAAATCCATTCAAATGAATGATAATTGCTGCAAAAAAAAAACGATAGTAGACACAACATATTTATTTAAATTAGTGTTTAAAACAGCATTTCCAATTAATGTTATTGCAGTTTGAGAATTATAATGTTTTGTTTGTTAGAACAAAATATTTGTTGGTTTAAAATTATACGTCTATGTAAACATTATTATTTTACCATGAAATATGACGCAAATTAATTCTTATTAATAACACATGCATATTCATCTAATAATAAGATATATCACAGATTATATTTTTAAATAACCAAAATTATTCATTTATCTAATATACTTTTTTTTTTGTTACAGCTATACCATTTTGGATTCAAATAATCACCATATCATCAGGATTCTGGTTCAGTGCATATATGCTCTGGTATCAATACAAATGTCAGTGCAATTGTTTCAACCAGCAAGATGTCGAAAATAACGGGTGATTAGAATTTGTTTAGCATTTAAAAAAGAAATCACTTTATTTATACAATTTTTATCATTTCAGAATGAACTATATGTACAATGCACCTATGAATTTGGTACCAGTTAGAGGAGGTCATCCTTCCGGACCCAAGATAATTGAAATTCTTGATAACAATGTCGAAGGTAATAGACGTCAACCGGGCCTCATTCCTGATGGTCGTCGCAATGTAAACAAATTAGTAATTTGCCACGTATACGTAAATCAGAAATCCAACATTATTTATAAATATTAAACTGCTGAAGTATGTGTAAATGTACTTGCATTCAGTATTTTAGTTTTAATCGGTGTATATTTATGAAAATATTTGTAAATCTGTGTAGAATATATGTATAAATAATGAGTTTAAGTTTAAACTATAAGCGCACTTTGTGTATCTCGAATTTAGCACATTATGTTATGTTTTATATTATGTGTAGTTGTTTATTACATGCTTAATGTGCTTACTTTTAATTGGATTAAAATATAAATTAAATTAAGTAAAATATTCAAAAAGAAATATATGATTAATATTATAGTTTTTAATGCATAAATACATAATATTTGTTTATATCAATTTGAAAACTAATAGGAATAAAATCTAAATTAATTTAAGAAAAAATATTTGAAAGTATATGTATTTGACAAATTTCATGAAATAAACATTCTAAATGTACTTTACATATTTTAGTAATTCCTCTCAACTGTTCATTGTTACAATGGAATTAAACAAAGCAGTTTTTCTTATTATCTTAAGAAGATTTTGATGGTATTATATTAATAAATTCTGCATTCTAACTACTAACAATACTGTAATAATTCGTATAAAAGTGAAATAAATAATTAATTAAATCTATAATTTTGTTGCATGTCTATATATCATAACCATGTTTGATTTAGTTTAATTATTAATACAAATTTGACAATTATATAAATCTTTTATTTGTTATTTCTTTGAAATAATGTATTTGATAGATATAGGAGTAATTAGTGTTTATCAATAATAATAATTAAATATTGGACAAAATTTATATGTTATAGTTTACGGAGCCGCACAACAAAGATACCGTGGCTACAATTACTCATCCAAAGAGCCAGATGCGGCTCCGAAGCGGCAACCTTAGTTACAAGTAAGTTGTGTAGAATGCATATCTTATATAATAGCATTTTAAGATAAGAATTATAAGAGAATTGGCAACTGAGCACAGCTGACGGATATTTTCCTGAAGAGGTGACAACAGTGCAGTCTATAATATTTTGACGTTTGTCAGTTTGAGTTTATTCAACATACAATAATGGAATGAAACCATTCTAAAAGCAATCTCAAGTCAGATAACTCCGGCGAAAATGAACCGTTCGTATCACAAACAGTGACAAACATCAGTATCGTTCACCCTGCTTAAACTGCTTCAATAAAACAGCATCAGTTATTTACATAAGTTTATTTTCTGCCAAAAGAAGTGTTTTGAGTGTAGGAAGAAATCATCAAGAGAAAAAAAAATGTTCACAGTGGTTCCTTTTGTTGTTGCTGTGCATTGATAAACGAAATCTCGTAGTAAACATCAATCAGTAGAATGCCTGAGCAATTCATCAAAGTTAAACACAGTGAGATACAGTCTACCACAATATTCTGTGATGTCAAGAGGGCTGATGTAGATCTGAATGGATCTATCTCGAATATTTCAAATTCCAATGGTGATATATGTAGAATATGTCACTGTGAAGCTGATTTGGACAATCCTCTCTTGTCCCCATGCTACTGTGCTGGAAGCTTGAAGTATGTCCATCAGACATGCCTGCAGCAATGGCTTGCAGCCTCTGACACTAGATCTTGTGAGCTTTGCAAGTTTCATTTTATTCTTCATACAAAAATTAAACCTATTGGAGAAGTAAGTTCACATTCAAGATGACCCTGTACTTGTGTCTTTATCATTGGAGTCATTTTTCAGTGGAGAAGATTAGAAATGAGCAGTATTGAAAGGAGGAGGTTGCTTTGTGCTATACTGTTTCATTTTGTTGCTGCAGTTTGTGTGATCTGGTCACTTTTTGTACTTCTTGATCGAGCAGCTGAAGAGGTCCACAAAGGTTTAATTGGTGAGTTATATTATCAATGGAATTTTCACACATTTAAAAATAAATTGTTTTCAATTTACAAATTTATTAGTTTCTTTTTTTTTTTATAAATTTGCTCACAAACAACATTGTTATAAGTGTTATTGTGTGTATACTTCATAAATATAACATTTATTTCTCAAATGTTTTTCAAAACAGAAAGACTTGAAATGAATATATCATAGATTAGTAGTTTCAAAGTCATAAGACCATAGCACATACAATATGTAAATTGTAAATGTAAATAATTTCATTATAATTCTTTGAACCATTGATAAATCATATTTTTTCCTATATAGTCATAATTAGCACATTAATATATTATATTGAATTATATAAACAAATATGAATTCGATACATAGTTGAACGAATAGTTGTGATTTTCGGAAAATACTAATTCTGACGCTTCAAATAATGTGCACAGTAACCACGTGGTAAATGCCCAACCAGCGAGATATATCTATAAAAATGCTTACACATTCTATGTTTACATTCAATTTTTCTATTAATTAGTTATTGTCATATGTTAATGTAATATAATTAGGCACCTACGGCTAAGATATACGCATTTATAAACCTAATTAGCATGGATTTTTCAACAATAACTTGTTTTAATGATTTACTTATAAAAAGTACGCAAATTGTTTCAAATACATCTATATAATTACAATAAACAGATTTTGGTGATAGCTACAAATGAAATATTAAATGCTTTAATGAAAGCTATTACTAAATATGTAGACAATTCAGATATTTCTTATCGTGCACGCCATTCCATTATTTATATTTCTTCTGACATTTAATTAGTATGTTTTACGTTAGTTAGAGACATTAAACATAATTAATTTTCTTATAAGCGATATAAAGGTTAACTAAGGTATACACAAGTAAATTATAATAGTTTATCTATGTTTTAGCTAATAATAATTATGACATAATTCATGAATTTAAGATTAAAGAGTTTCTTTAATTAAAGCAAAAATAAATAAATGTATGACATCAATTTTTGCACGTACAAAAATTATATAACGTATTTTATAAAAAAAATAAAATAATAAGTAAGTTTCAGTAAATCTTGGAAATATGTGCGATATAATTTGTTCTAAAAATGTACGCTAATCGTAAAATGATAAACGTTGATTTTGCGCAATTGTAAGCTCAGAAACAATGAGAAATGCCTCTTATTTCTTGATAAAATATAGTTATATACACATTTAACATGCATTCATGCATGGGATGAATTTGCAATTTTATTCAAACGAATAATACATACATTTTTTTAAATGCCATATTATTATTTTGCAAGGTATTTAGTAGAAAATCATCGACAATTGCATATTGTTAAATGTTATTTATTTGATATTAATATTTGTATAAGAATTCCGAGACAGTGTTTATGTGTAGTCTTATTATTATCGTCACTTTGTTTTACAGTAAATCTTTATTTTGTTTTTCTCGTTGCACAGACGAACAATTATACATCGCACTACAAATATGATTGTAATTAGACACCTGCCTAAATTCAGAACTGTGTATGCCATCACTTGATGGCATGACTAACTAATTTAATTGCAAGACTGACTAACGGACTGTATCTATCTTGCGTACATTTAATTAGTAATTTAAAAAATGAGGTGCAGTGTAAATTGTTGTACAGTTAAAAAAATATTGTTATTTTCTCATCATTGTTTTGACTTTTAAAAATATTATCTACATAATATACCTACTATCTTTATTATGGTGTTTAACCTTGGAAGATATAGTCTGATAGTGAGGGTCTTGAGACGTTCACTTATCTAAATCATACAGTAAAGCCGCATTGACAAGATTATATATTTTATGTGAATATTATCACTTCAGGTATATTCATCAAAATTTACTGATAGCGTTTTAGCACGAAAATGTTGATAACTACAAGAATTTTCACTGTATTGATTTATTTCGTAATCGAAAGTATGCTTTTACACTTGAAAATATTAACATTATATATTTTGGATCCAATATGCATTTCGAATAAAACTTGCAAATTATTTGCTAATAGCTGTTTATATTTGTGTATTATAAATACTGAATGATTGGTTTACAGTGGAACCGAGTTTAATCCGTTTCAAAATTTCAGGATTTTTACTCGTATAGTGGAACATATTCAAAAATACATATAATATGTAGCAAATTGATGTAGCAGGCGCGTAAGCGCTCGTTAAGCGAATCATTTTTCTTACAATTAATTTTTGTCCTTAAGTTTCATTGTACTTATAAATAATATCTACAGGGTTAGCGCACTGTCAATTTTGAATAATTTGGTCTTGACTTTTGATATTTCTGTCTATAAAAAAGAACATGCGACTGCATAAATAATGTTCCTGTTTGCTTGTCGAATTTTTAAGTTGACCTCGATTTAAGAAACAATTGCTCTTTTCACGTTTATGGGCAAAAATAGCATTCGCGGATTGTTTGTTGTGCAATTATAAATAACAAAAACAATTAAAAAGTAATAAAAGATTTAATTATTACTGTCTATGGTAAACACATTTAGAAAAAAATATATCAACTTAATGAATAAAAAAAATATGCCTAGGGGCGAGAAATCAAAAGGTCAACTGTTTTAATTGAAAAGAATCTATAACTAGGAAGATTTCAAATAATGTTTGCTATATTTAAATAAAAACAATATTTTTTTGATATATAATTATTATATGCAGAAATTATAACTAACTAATTTTATTGAACAAATTTAAATAAATTATTTTTTCTTCATAAATTATATCGTCAAATTAATAAAAGAAGCGATAATTGCTTTTTATTATGACTTTTGCTGTTATGAAACACGGAAAGTATTTATTTTATTACGATCTTATATCAATTGAACACCTCCAGTAATTAAATTCGATAACCTTGATACCTCTATAAATAGAATGTTATTGTTTTTTTAAAGCCGTAAGTTTCTCGCGGTTGCATTAGCATGGAATTTTGGATGGTTTTGGTGAGTTGGTCCTTCCTGCAATTCAAAAATGCGTACACAAAAATGTATTTATATCCCCTCGACGTGACCGAGCTACTATGGACATGAAATAATGGATGGGAATTTATAAATCGACACGTTAATGATAATATTTATACGCATAGTCAATAAGCGATGGTGCTCTTCGTACGTTTTTATTGATTCAAAGTCCTTTATCGTCTCATACTACTTTTGTAATGTCAGGAAAATTCTCATGATTGCTTCAGTTAATTACAGTAAATTGCATCTTTTTTAATCGTCCGTTACTTTGCAGCTTATTAATAATACAGTAAACATAAAAAGGTAATGAGAAAATAGAAGTTTGTTATTGATAAATAGTGAAACATCTACTGTGTTGTGTTTATTAGAAAAAAATATTAATAATTCAATATAAATTGTGTTGTTTCCATAAATGTTTTCGCGTGTTATTTTGCCAACCAAAAAAATGGCTAGCTATTTGTTCTCGTAACAGATTATGCATCGCCGCAGAAATAGATCCTGGCAGCATAGCAAAGCTTTTTTACTCTCCGAATGAGAGCTTCATATTAAATTGGGTTGATTATTATTACATATTTATTCTATTTCCGTTGCAGCATGGCCGTTTTGGACAAAATTAGCCGTCGTAGCGGTGGGATTCACTGGAGGTGCCGTTTTCATGTACATCCAATGCAGACAGTACTTACATTTGTTTTCGAGATGGAAAGCTCATAACAGGTAAATTTGACTAGTTAATAATGTTTTCTTTTATTATTGTAGTATATTAGTCTTAACGGAATACGAATTGATGTTTTAGAATAATCTTGGTACAGAATGCACCTGAAAAGGTTTTACCACCGCCACCATCCCCAACTCTTCGGATGACAATTAGTCCGGTATACAATGTCGGAGGTGAATTATCTCAATCTCAAGTCGTGGCCAACGTCGAATACAATGTGCGCCCTCGGAACGAGCAGCCGGTTGAATCTTGTTACGTCTTCGAAGACGAGCGCAGTAAGAGTTCTGATTTTATGAAAAGTGATAGTAGCAGTACGGCGTCCTATGGTGTAACTGATAAGTCTGATAATAATACACCGGTAGAACACAAAACAGAGTTGCACGAGAAGTCCAGTATCGGTGAGAACTCGTGCGATGCTTTAGAATTAAATATACAGGAAATATTAGCGCTCGATGTGGAGTACAGCAAAAGGTGCACGCACAGCTCTGGCGAAGGTTTAGGATCCAAGAATGAAAAGATCAAGCCCAAACCCGTATTCAAGTCGCTGCCCAACTTAAGTGCCAGCAGTGAGAACTTGCTTGTATGAATGAAAGAAAAAAAATCAAACATACATACTTTATTATTATTATTTTATTTTTTAATAAAATTATATATTTATATTCTGTGTATATATCTATATATGTATTTAGAGGTGTTCATAATCGCTGTTCAATATCATTTTTATGTCGATTGTTATATGTTATATTTAGTCTGTATAATGTTTTGCTTAAAATCTAAGTACAAAATTCGAATTGCATGTGTGTATTAAATCACATTAAATCCTCTAATTTATTTCGTCGAAAATTTGCAATCTCTTATTGTTTATATTTGCAGTGATCTCGTTTCTGGAATTACAAAAAAAAAACTTATTGGTGATAAATTGAAGAAAAATAGAGAATCTTTGAAATATATTTATTTATTGATATCTATGTTATATTTTATGAACATAACGAAATAAAGAAATTAAACGATTAAAAAATAGTTTTATTCTTGTATTAAACAATATAATTATTTTTTTGAGTATTAATTAATTAACTAGTCAGTGAATATGTAAATAATTAATAACTAAATTAATTAGTTACGTAAAGTAATTTATTAGTAAAACTTTATTTTCTATTGTCAAAAAAGGTATGTAGATTATGAAATATATTGATGACAGTACACAATTTGAAGGTAAACTATTGTAATAGTTACTACTCATTATTTTTAATGGTTCAGAAAAAAAATAATATACGGTTTATTGATAGGAATTGAGGGAATTTTAACAGCGGTAACAATTATAGACTTTTTTTATTCATCCATAATTTTGCAATCACATGACAATGTTAATATATATAAGTATGCAAAAATAAGTGGATACTTTATTTTTAGCATTAAAATTAATATATTTCTTGAAAGTGTATGTAGAGTGAGCTTATTTAGTACAAAACTATACATTTAGATTCTTGCAATTATCACAAATACATTTAGCCAACAAACCTTACATCCTAGTAAATCTTTACTGATTGCATTTTTTCCTTGCCAATTATTAAATAGACATGTTATTGTCCTTTAAACAATAATGCTAATTAAACTATTGCTATAAATTACATTCTTGTTTTAGTTCTGGAAAACAAGTGTATAAAAATAAATGATACATAAATATTTTTTTATTGAAAAACGTGTATGAAATAATAATAATAATATAAAATCTGTTTATGCCTATTAAGCAAACAATATATTATCTTTATAATACAGTAAGATTTCCTTTCGCCTTACATCGCTATAACAAATATATATATATATATATTCCACGTGAAAATTATTCTGTTTGCCTCAATCGTGCTAAACGTTGAGACAATTCGTCTTGTTCCTGAGACATATTTGTGGAAGTACCAATACCGACGGAAGTGTTTTGAACACCTTCCGGTAATTCCATGTTTAGTTCCAAACTGTAAATAAGATATAAATAGTTTAGAAAACTGTTTAAAGTAAAGCAATGTCCATCCATACCCAGCTTCATCAGCAACTTGTTGCATAAGACTCTCCACATCATTTTGAGGTACCATGGTTGTAACATTCTGTGACATTGCATTCTCCATGACACCACTTTGCACATCCAAGTCTTCAAATTGTTGCTCAAACTTATCCATCAAGTTTGAAATCTTTTCAAGATTCATACTCTTCATAGCTGCATCCATTGCCTTAACAACACCTATCAAAACAAACATAATTATGATTGAGTAATACAATTTTATAAATTTATATACCAGCCATAGAATTTGTTACTTTTCTAGTGGTGAGTGCAGACTGCACTCTGCTAGAAACTGCATCAACCCTAGCTGACATCCTTAAATAATTTATTGCTTGATTTTTTTGCCGAATAGCATTTTCTGCATGTATCCTTGCAACTTCCATGTTTCCTTTCTGTATGGCCTGTTTGGTTTTGGCTTTTTCCTGTTTCTCCTCCTTTTCACATCGCTTGGAATTGCGTTCTAACTCTTTTACAGCAAACTTCAAATTGAACAAGTGCTCTTATCAAGTTGTTAAGGAATGTTTCATAATTAGACCTATATTTAACATAATTATTCTTAGTGGTGACTCATATACTAGTAATTAGAATTTTGTATGCAGCCTTGATAATTCTAGTTAGAAGTATAAACAAATTGCAGCCTCGTCCAAATTATTACACCCAATATTATTATATATATAAAATATTTATATTTATATTAAAAAAAAGGATACTCTCCATCACAGATGATGACATCTCGTTGCCCATTGTGTAAAATCCGTTTCTATAGTAACTAATATATAAAAATCACAATATTATTATTGTTACTGAGAGTATATGTTAAAATATTGTATTGGAATAAATAGACTATTTATGACTAAACTTTGACATTTATCAATAACATGTGTCAAACATTTTTAGTGTTGGTATTAGTTGGTACAATTGGTGGCCTATCACATGTGATTCAGGAAAACAAGAAAATTTGAAATTATTGCAACAGTTAAGTGTAATTCAGATCGTTTGAAATTCGTTGTCTGTACTTCGTTTAAAATGAATAGTTTACAAGATTTCACGTGTCCCAACGATGGTGAATTAACTCTTTGTGAAGTTGATGGACGCATACATTCCATGAATTTCGAATTTGCTAATGTTAACGCTTTTACCAATACAGTATGTATATTAATAGGTTAGATTTCTATAGCCAAAAAATATTAATCATATAACATAACATCAATTTCCTATACATATTGATATAACTAATCTAAATTGTTTCTTTTTAAGATTGACCGGCATCCAAAAATTCATATAACTAGAGATATGCTCCATCCTGTGAAGACAATGGATGAAGGAAAAGCTTTGTTTTTACCTGTAGATGTTCCATTTTTAAAGCAATTAATTCAGGTTTACTATGAGCAAGGAATGATGGAAGCAATTGAAATGGTATCAGCACATAGACAAACTGTTATATCTGCAAGTGCTAAAGTTTTATTGCAAGTAATCAATAAACTGCACAAAGTTAGGTGTATTGTAAACCCAAGGTTGCTGATTAAGGGTGAGAGTACTATCACTCAGTTCTCTCAAACTCGTAACTGGAGTAAAAGTCCTATTAGATGTATGGCATGGCATGATACTATACCCAAAATTGCTGTGGCCACATCAGATGACACAGTCAGAATATATCAGACAGATTCCACAATGGTTCCAATTTTGAAATGTAAACAACAGAAAAATGTTACTTGTATTGCTTGGAGACCCATGTCCAATTCAGACATTGCTGTTGCATGCGAGAGCGGTATAATAGTCTGGAACGTGGATCCTAATTCTGTTGTAAGTTTCGTAATTATTTACTGTTTCAAACAATGCAAATAATGAATCTTTAGGTAACGCGTCCGTCTATGAACCACGCAATTATTTTAAGTCGAACTGATCACAATATGATTCTAAGTATCAGCTGGAGTCCAAGAGGAGACGTTCTTGCTTCTGTCGCTGCAAGCGATTCGAAAGTTTTATTATGGGACGTTGAATTGGATCGTACTAGTTCTTTGAAGAGAGCTGGAGCTTCAGGACTTAGTTTACTCAAATGGTCACCTGATGGTAATAAATTATTCGTTGGCACAACCACGTGCGTCTTTAGGTACTTATAATCGCATCTATATGTATATAAATTCGTATCTAAATTGATGTTTCAATGCAGGGTATGGGAATGCAACAGCTGGTTAGCTGATAAATGGAATATCTTGGCTGGTTACGTACAAACAGCTTGCTGGTCGAAATGCGGCACCTATTTATTATTTACATCTAACGAAGAGCCAATTATCTACGCTTTGCCGTTTAGCAATTGCGATTTTGTGTTTAAAAACGAAGTTAAAACTACTCCCAATCAAGCAATGCCTTTGTACGATGTTAGTAAGGTAGATATAGATGGGGTCATCGTTGGTGGAATAGTTCAATACATGGAATGGGATACCAGAGGAAATCACGTGGCTGTGCTTTTCAAAGATACAAATTGCGTAGCCGTTTTCTACGTGATAGCACAGCCTGTTTTACAACTTGCTCCAGGGTATTTTTTAATACACATGTATACACAATTAAACATTGCTAATTATTATGTTTTATAGCTTTTTGGTATCTGGTTGTCCTGAGGAAGTACCAATCACCATCAATTTCCAGCCGAATTTCGATCATGGCTCTTGTTTGACTATTGGATGGTCGAGCGGAAGGATTCAGCATTTCCCTATCGTCTATTCTGATTTCTGTAATACCAGCACCAATATTATTAGCCAGCAACAATCTTATTATGATTCTTTTAATTTATCAAATGCTGTAAATAGTTCTACGTATCTTATTAATTAAATTTATTTATACATTTTTTTCAATAAAACATATATTTTGCAAATAAATCTGTTCGCCATTAAGAATACACTAATAGTACAAGAATTGAATATGCATTGGATGGATTT